CATGCCCGGCGTGTGTGTGTGTTTGTGTGCGTGTGTGTGTGTGTATGCCCAAGATTCTGGGAGGGGAATGGAAGAGAAGGCATTGAGGCATGGCCACTGCCCTTGGGGGCGATTTCTTACCTTCCCTCTCACTGTCTATTTCTCTCTCCAGTGAACACATGTGCCCTAAGGCAAAAATCTCTTAAAAAAAGAATAAAAGAAAATCATACCAGCCATGTGTGCATGTGTGCCAAAAATCCCAGGAGGAGAATGAAGAAGGGATTGCGGCATGGCAGTGAGCGATTTATCTTTCCAAGACTCTTATCTCTCTCAGGCAAGTGCACCAGAAACCATTAAAAAGAAAATTTTAGGGGCTAGCAGGTGGCATGGTGGTTAAGACACTGGATTCTGATATGGATAGCTGTGGTTCAAGCCTCAGACCTGTTGGCCTGCTTTCCCATTTCCTCTCTCTCTCTCTCTGTCTTTGGTCAAATAAATAAATAAATAAATAATAACAAATAAAATAAAAACAATTCTTTAAAAACAATTTTAGCTCTGTGTCAGGCACAATAATATAAAACTCACTAGTTGAAGAGCCAGTAGGTGGCATGGTGATTAAGGTATTAGACTCCCACATGGTTGACTGTGGTTCGGGTCCTGGACCTGGTGGCTTGCTTTCTCACTTTCCCTTTCTCTCTGATCAAATTTTGAAAATGGTAATAATAAATTAAAATAAATAAACAAATAAATAAATCTTTAAAAAAACCTCACTAGTTGGACCTAGATTTTATTTTTGGCAGTTAAAGTGGTCTGTTGAGACAGCAGGTATCACAGAGGTTAAGGCAGCTGGGTTACACATGGCTGACAGTGCTGACAGTGTGGCTTGAGTCCCAGACTTGGAGGCTTGAAAAACACGCCAGGGGCATGCATATGTGTGTGTGTGTGTGTGTGTCCCCGAAATCCCAAGAGAATGGAGAAGGGATTGTGGCATAGCCATCCCCTCTCCTGGGGGGCAGGGTGCTTTCTCTCTTTCTCTCTCTAATGAGCTCATGCACCCTGTAGCAAAAACTTTAAAACAAAAGTTCAGATAGCAAAAGCCTTTTAACATTTATAGGAAGAACATTAAAAAAAAATCATTTATTTTTGATCATTCATTTATCCATTTTAATTTGACCAGAGAGAGACACAGTGAGAGTAAGAAAGAGAGAGAGAGAGGGAGAGAAAAGTGAGAAAGCAAGCCACCAGATTCTGGACTCAAATTGTCCAGTGCCTTAGCCACCCCGCCACCTGCTGGTCCCCGGGAAGAACTCTGAATAATTTTTTGGGGGAGGCCAGCAGGTGACATAGTGGTTAAGGTGCTGGATTCCCACATGGCTAACCACGGTTCAAGTCCCAGATCTGGCAGTTTGTAACTCACGCTGGGCACGTGTGTGCATGTACCCAAAATCCCAAGAGGAGAATGGAGGAAAAGAGATTGGGCATGGTCATACTCCCTGGGGGGGGGGTAATTTCTCACTTTCCCTTTCTCTGTCTCCATCTCTCTGAGCACATGCACTCTATGGCAAAAACCTTAAAATAAAGAATTTTTACTTTCCAGTTTATTTCTACATAAAAAGTCTCTTTGATGAGTTGTTTCTCTTAAGTCTGCATTGTAAAGATTTAGACATCTCTAAGGCACAAAGAAAGGATGTAAGCGACTAGCCTGGTTACTCCCTCCGTTGCTGAGTGGCTCTTTTTCTCCTGGATAGCCCATTTTGACATCACATTGAGGCATATAATGGTTTAAATAATTTGATAAGGAGCAGTTTACAAACGGGAATAGCAAACCAAAAAAGGTTTAGCGTTCCAATGAGAGAATATCAGAGGTAAGGGGAACATGTTAAAGCAAAATGAAGAAATTATTTAACTGGTTTGTAATGACAAAGTTGCCTTTTTATTTAGGCACCTTATTGTAAAGTCACCAGTCACATAATTATATGTTTGTTGGCTTCTTATGATTGTCTGGGGTTAAGTTTTAGTTCTGTCTAACATAAACATTGATTAGAAATGACCAGTTATGTTTGCAAATCAAGCGACATTGAGGCCCTTGGGAGGCCTAACGGGTTTTAAGCTCAGGGATTTTTTTCAGGTCTGCTCGCCATTTTAATTTACTTTAACCAGGAAAAGAGCTCCAGACGTCTGTGATTCTAGGGCCAGCCTTTTTCTATAGGCGAGAAACCGCGCCGGGCACTACAGGCTGCCAAGAGCCTTCTGGAAACTCTCCGGTCCTCAAAACGTGATGGGGGGGGGAGTCTGGAGGATGAAGTAATTATCGCTGTTTCCCACAGAGGTTCAAAGGCTCAAACGACTTTCTCAAGATCGCAGGGGAAATGATCTTTCTGGCCGGGACTGGCGTTGAAGGTGGGCGATGGCGAAGGGCCCTTCCTATGTCCCCGTCCCCACCCCCACCCCCGGGCCTGGGCTCCAGCCGCAAGTTCCCCAGCGCGCCGCGCAGTGCCATTCCTACATTGTGGTTTTCAAATGCCCCGCAATGTCGAAGCCCGGACTTTTGCGCATCGATCGTTACCTCCACCCTGGTTCCCACCCGTGTGGCTGAAGCGAGCGCAGCCTGGAGAAGCCCTGGGCCTGGGCCCTGCGGGCGCCTGGCCTCCCGCCGCGCACAGCAGCCCAGCCCCGCACCACTGACCCCGGCTGCCACGCCCCCTCCCCCGCACTCGCCGCGCCCCTTCCCCTAATGATATTAGTTAAGGTTGTTTAGGCAGTCTTTGCGTGTCCTACTCAGCCTTCTCCTACACATGTAGTGTAGAAGTAAATCTAATGATTTCTATCAAAAGTCAGGGGCTTTTGCCAACTGTGATGTTTTCTCATGCCCTGCTACTTCTCCCTCTGTGGAGAGTAAACAATGCAGAGCCTTCTCATCCATGGGCAGAACATGCATTCATGGCTACTGACTAGTGTACATGTGAAACTGCCACCGCATCAGCCCCTTCACCTGTTTCCAGAGCCACACCTGAGCCTCGCTAAAGTCAGTGGTGTACAGCAGCCCTCATTTTCCCCATTTCATAGGTAGCAAAATGGAAGTCTAAAGATATTAAATGTTGGGCCAGCTGGTGGCCTGCTGGTTAAGACACCTGAAGCCCACATGGCCAACTGTGCAGCTGGAGTCCCCATCAGGATGCTCGAAGAACATGCCGGATGTGTGTGTGTATGTGTGTGTGTGTGTGTGTGTGTGTGTGTCCCCGAAATCCCAAGAGAATGGAGAAGGGATTGTGGCATAGCCATCCCCTCTCCTGGGGGGCAGGGTGCTTTCTCTCTTTCTCTCTCTAATGAGCTCATGCACCCTGTAGCAAAAACTTTAAAACAAAAGTTCAGATAGCAAAAGCCTTTTAACATTTATAGGAAGAACATTAAAAAAAAATCATTTATTTTTGATCATTCATTTATCCATTTTAATTTGACCAGAGAGAGACACAGTGAGAGTAAGAAAGAGAGAGAGAGAGGGAGAGAAAAGTGAGAAAGCAAGCCACCAGATTCTGGACTCAAATTGTCCAGTGCCTTAGCCACCCCGCCACCTGCTGGTCCCCGGGAAGAACTCTGAATAATTTTTTGGGGGAGGCCAGCAGGTGACATAGTGGTTAAGGTGCTGGATTCCCACATGGCTAACCACGGTTCAAGTCCCAGATCTGGCAGTTTGTAACTCACGCTGGGCACGTGTGTGCATGTACCCAAAATCCCAAGAGGAGAATGGAGGAAAAGAGATTGGGCATGGTCATACTCCCTGGGGGGGGGGTAATTTCTCACTTTCCCTTTCTCTGTCTCCATCTCTCTGAGCACATGCACTCTATGGCAAAAACCTTAAAATAAAGAATTTTTACTTTCCAGTTTATTTCTACATAAAAAGTCTCTTTGATGAGTTGTTTCTCTTAAGTCTGCATTGTAAAGATTTAGACATCTCTAAGGCACAAAGAAAGGATGTAAGCGACTAGCCTGGTTACTCCCTCCGTTGCTGAGTGGCTCTTTTTCTCCTGGATAGCCCATTTTGACATCACATTGAGGCATATAATGGTTTAAATAATTTGATAAGGAGCAGTTTACAAACGGGAATAGCAAACCAAAAAAGGTTTAGCGTTCCAATGAGAGAATATCAGAGGTAAGGGGAACATGTTAAAGCAAAATGAAGAAATTATTTAACTGGTTTGTAATGACAAAGTTGCCTTTTTTTTTAGGCACCTTATTGTAAAGTCACCAGTCACATAATTATATGTTTGTTGGCTTCTTATGATTGTCTGGGGTTAAGTTTTAGTTCTGTCTAACATAAACATTGATTAGAAATGACCAGTTATGTTTGCAAATCAAGCGACATTGAGGCCCTTGGGAGGCCTAACGGGTTTTAAGCTCAGGGATTTTTTTCAGGTCTGCTCGCCATTTTAATTTACTTTAACCAGGAAAAGAGCTCCAGACGTCTGTGATTCTAGGGCCAGCCTTTTTCTATAGGCGAGAAACCGCGCCGGGCACTACAGGCTGCCAAGAGCCTTCTGGAAACTCTCCGGTCCTCAAAACGTGATGGGGGGGGAGTCTGGAGGATGAAGTAATTATCGCTGTTTCCCACAGAGGTTCAAAGGCTCAAACGACTTTCTCAAGATCGCAGGGGAAATGATCTTTCTGGCCGGGACTGGCGTTGAAGGTGGGCGATGGCGAAGGGCCCTTCCTATGTCCCCGTCCCCACCCCCACCCCCGGGCCTGGGCTCCAGCCGCAAGTTCCCCAGCGCGCCGCGCAGTGCCATTCCTACATTGTGGTTTTCAAATGCCCCGCAATGTCGAAGCCCGGACTTTTGCGCATCGATCGTTACCTCCACCCTGGTTCCCACCCGTGTGGCTGAAGCGAGCGCAGCCTGGAGAAGCCCTGGGCCTGGGCCCTGCGGGCGCCTGGCCTCCCGCCGCGCACAGCAGCCCAGCCCCGCACCACTGACCCCGGCTGCCACGCCCCCTCCCCCGCACTCGCGGCGCCCCTTCCCGCCGACCTGCGCTGGTTCTCCGCTGCGCGATTCTGCTGGGCCGCTGGGGCCGAGCAGCCTGGGCCTGCGGACCGATGGAGGGGCCCCCCTCCTCCGCGCCAG